AAAATATACAATAGCCAGTAACAGATGTAACAGGAAATTTAGGAGGAACTTTTTTCACAGAAGGTCATAGGAATGTGGAATTCACTGCTAGAAAGTGGTTTGAAGCAGGAAGTATCAACATGTTTAAGAGGAAATTATGCATACATGAACAAAAAGGCAACAGAGGAGTATGGGAGGAGAGTATGTAGAAGAATTAGGTGGAGGCATATGTGGAATACAAATACTGTCATGGACTGTTTGGGTCTAATGGCCTATTTTGGTGCTGTACGGTCCATGTAATTTTATGCAACTCAAATTGGCTGCTGCATTTGCCTTCAGAATACAGTCACTACACTTTACAGTATAAAGTGAGGGCTTTGAGACATACAGATGTAAATGTTTTCATCATCATTATTATTTGAAGAGGACCAAGGGTTTGTTTGCTCCCATCTTCTTCTGGGAGGGGTGGAAGGGTTTCATCCTGCGACTCACTCGTTTGCTCTGAAGATGAATCAGTGGTGTAACATTTCAGACCCCAACTTCCTCCCGATTGTTTACACCAAGGGACAGCTTCACTCCAGAAGGTGGGAAGCCATGACGAAGAAGGGAGGGAGTCCTTCCGATATCTCTTGCATAGCCTCCAACCAGCATTTGCATTCAACAAAGATCTGAGAGGATTGTCGGTCTGATTGGCACTGTGTGGGAGAGATCAAAGGAAGAGACGAGGCAGAAATGCATTAAAAATAAACACATTGACACTCCCCCTCCCCAGGCCTTCCTGCTGTGAATCTCAGATTATACTTACACACTTTCCATCAACAGAGACTTAGTTGAATATCTGTGTTATTCAAAAACAGGGTTACTTAAAAACAACAAAGATTCACAAAATCCCAGATTGCCACAAGTCATTGGCTCTTCGAGTCTTGTTTTGCAAGATCTGAAAAATTGAGAAGACGGCAATTTGGCATATTCCTGCCCTACACACACCAACACTCCTGCCTCACACCACACAGAAAGGTTGCTCTTTGGATCAACACAGCCTAAAAGATATCCACATGCAGAAGCTCTTATGGTGCTGTGGTTGGATTTGACCTGAATGCGATCTATATTTCTCTGCCAAAACCCTGAGAAGAACTTCTGTATGTATTTTTTAAAACAAACTTTTGGTTTGCATTTCTAGAATTCTGTAAACCTTACCAGAAGAGAAACTTGCAGCATTTTAAGGGCAGTGTTGTTAATAGGAATACAGTAAAACTTGCATAATAATCCCTCCAAAAACCCAAAACAATAATAAATTGGTCATTTTCAATCTACGACTGTTTGTGGGACATTGCTGTGCGCAATTGGCTGCCGTGTTCGCCCACAAATATACAGTCAATTCACTTTACAGTGTGTTCTGTGAAGCGCTTTGGGACGTCCTCCCGACGTGAAAAGCGCTATATCAAATGCAAGGATTATTATTATTATTATAATTCAGATCTGTATAAACCGTATAATCGCCTAAATCGTACATCAGCGCAAATCCCATTGAATTTCCTATTATTTATGTTTCACATAACTCAATCTTTACATAACTCATATTCAATGTATGGTCCCAACTGCTATGACTTATGTGAGGTTTCTGTAATAATCTCTGATGCAGGACTCTCAATGTTCCATCTCTTTCCTCCGAGTGATGTTTTCATGGTGTACACGGTTGTTTGTGCATCTCTTGATGTACATCTATCAGCATCTATTGGGGAGAGGAGAGGGAGAGTGAGTGAGGTCAACTTGGCTCAAGGCCATGGAATCCCAGCTTCTTTTAGAGTTCTTGAAAAATATTTTTTTCCCTCTCTCCCTGTCCATATTGACAACATCTGGGGGAGGGTGGGGAGAGATGTGTATGAGAGAGGGAGAATGAAAGATTCTGTTCATTTTCAATGGTGAATATTCTCAACTTGACTTTTTGAGAAAGAATTGCTTTTGCAGAGTTGAATGAATAAATGAATTGCGATCCTGCTGTGGCCATCCTTGTGTTAAGTGCTTTTGTTGCTGAGTGTCTGCAGTACAATATCTGGCAATACAATACAATACAATACAAATTTACATTTACTGTATGCAGTGCCTTTCAAATCAAGAAGACATCCCAAAACACTTAATAGTATTTACTGGGCACCCAAGTTGGGGGTCAGAGCTGGGAAGGGAAAGATGACTGAAAGCACAGTCAAAGAGGTAGGTCATGAGATGAACCTTGAATAATGTGAGGGAGCGAGGGAGTTTGAATTACTTCTGATGGAGTCCAATAAGTGAACCGTTGCTGCTGATGTGGGGCCAGGGTACTGTGTTAATAAAATGATTTGTCTATATGTCAATAGCATATATGAAGCGCTCTGATAAGGTGCTGTATCAAATGCAAGCATTATTATTAATATTCCCTTCATTTCAGCTCAGCTCAATGGAGAACTGAATCATCCAGAATGAGGTTTCAGATTGAATGCCCGGAGCTGCTGGGTCAGCTCATCGCCACTGCAGGGATTAGAGAAGAAGCAGTTCAGTGCCTGGACTGCGAGGCAGGGGTAGAGAATAGAGTCTTGTTTCTCATCGGTGTTCAGTGACAAATTGTTGGAATTTGTGTACGTGCGGACATGGGGACTGGACAGGATTGGATTTAGTGCTCCAACCACTAAGCTACAGGACTCCACGAAGAAGGGAGAGACTTCAGTGAGGTACAAGATATTACACTGAAAAGGCATCTTTTTAATGTGAGCAGGGGAGAAATTGGGAGGGATGGGAAAGCTGAAAGATAAAACACACTATACTGATTGACAGCAACTGAGGGAAATCTCTTTTCCCTTGTGCTGTTCAACTGAAGTGGGCTGTGTTTTCTGCAGCTTCTTCCTTTGTTTTTAAAGTGATCCTATGATACGTAAAATATAACAAAATAATTACACAGAATAGCGTAATGGATGTCTAAACAGGTCCAAAATATATTGGGCACTCTGCAGCTTCACACACACTCATTTCCTTCGCTACAGCGCTGAACCAGCCCGGCTTAGGTCACAAGGCCATTTCATTTACTGAGGGATCAACCAATTGTGTCAAACTGGGTCAGACATCTGGGGCTGTCTTCCCAGCTGTGAGAGGAATTTGTTCATCAGTGTGACAGACATCCTGCCAGGTTTACTTGCTGCAGACCCCGCTCTGCTGGGTTTGATCTACGTCCCCTTCTCAGTGAAATTGCTGCCCTGGGGAAGACAGCATTATACAAGACGTGAACAACACAGTAAACTGGCTTGCCCATTTGAAGAAGAGAAGATTGTCATTAAATGTACTTTGAGAGAAGAAGAGTGGCACTGATTACAGCATTATTTACAAAAACATACTAAGAACTAAACGTGTGATGCTTTGTGATTATGGTAATCTGTACATAGTTAATGATTAGTCACGTGTAGATTGCATGCCTGAAGCACTCAATCTGGCTTGGATACTCGTAATCATGGTGATAGGTTTTCGGAGGGTGTCAGACACCCAGCTGACCAAAAAAAATGAGTCACTCATCTGATACTAATACCTAGTTAGTGATCAATAGCAACTTGCATTTATATAGCGCCCTTTATGTAGGATCAACATTTTGGAGCGAGTGGTGGAGTTGGACGACGAACGAGGAAGAAAGGTGGAGGTGACCATAATGCACGGGAGAATTTTTGTAGGTTTTCAGATAAATTACAACTAACACTAACCTAATCTCGCGCTAATACCTATTTTATAGGAATATAGGAAAACAGGAAGATGCCATTCAGACCATTGAACCCGTGCATTAGTTTATTAGTCAGATATTTTAATCCCAATGACCCGTCCTTTTGCCACACCCCTTCATATCTCCGCTACCCAAATATCAGTCTTCCCTTGTTTTTTTTTGCCTTCCCTTCCCCTCCCCTCCCTTCTCCCTCCCTGACCCCGGCTCGGGTCTGAAATGCTGTACACTGTCCAGCGCCTTGGGACGTCCTCCTGACGTGAAAGGCGTTATACAAATGTAATCTTGTTGTCGTTGTTAAACATCCTTGTTAATTCTGCCTCTACGGATTTCTAGGGCAGAGCATCCCACAACTTCACAACCTTCCACGCGAAGAAATAATAGGAATCCTTACATTTTATACAACAACAAAATTACATTGGCACAGCGCCTTTCACGTTGGGAGGACGTCCCAAGGTGCTGGACAGTCAAGTGTTTTGGCCCCGTTGTGGGGGGGGGGTCGGGATGCAGCACTTTTATCACATCAACGAAAGGTCTCAAAGATTTACTGTAAAGTGTAGTGACTGTGTTTTGCGGTCCAGTTGCTCCCTGACCTCAGTCATCCTTCTATCCAAAGAGAAAAGTCATCCCCATTCTAACCTGTCAATTCCATTCATTAGGTTAAATCCCCCTTTCTATGGAAAATAACCTCAGCTCAGCCTCCTCACAGCCTACAATACACTGCAGATACACAGTCACTCGTCTCAATGACGTGAGAAAGGCGCTATATCAAAGACAACAACAACAACAACAAGATTCCATTTACAGAGCGCCTTTCATGTCGGGAGGATGTCCCAAGGCGCTGGACAGCTGTAAAGGCGAGGATTATTATTATTATTATTACTATTATTACTCTTGGCCTGTCCCACGCTCTGATGAAAGACGTTAACACGGCGTATCGGTCACCGTGGCGACCGCCGAGTATCACCATGGTGACAGCTGCGGTCGCCTGTGACACTCTACACGTAGTCGCCGTGGTGACAGTTCGGCCGAAACTACAACTCCCAAGCTGCCGTTGTGAAAGCGCGCGTGCGCAGATTCCACCACACCACCGCGCATGCGGCGCTGGACCGCCAATCAGTCAGTCAGTCAGGCCGTCCAATGGGAGGCGACGCTCACAGCCACCCGGGCCGACGGTCGTTTTCCACGTCGTTGATTGGCTGCCTTGGGCCCATATGACCAATGGCCTCGCGCCGTTGTTCACTTTGGGCGCGGATTGGCTGAAAGCCGCACCAATGGAGTCGGCGCTTCCGTTGCCGGTCGGTTGGCCCAAGAATGTTCCAGAAGGAAGAGCGGCGGTGGTGTCGGCGGCCGGAGCCGGCGAGACCTTGAGAGCCGCAGGTAGAGTCAGGGGTCAGGCCGGGGAGCTCGGTCAGAAAGGCGGATGGAGTTCCTGGGCTGTGTCATGGCTTCTCTTCTACGCACTTTCCTTCACTCGGTATTTTGGACCGAAATTTCTGTGTGAAGGTTCCCGGGTCCCAACCACCGGCGCCATCGCCGCCTTCCTTTACATTAGCGACTGCGGTCCTGAGGTGGTGCCTGTCTGCACCCGGCCACTCGCTACCACCTGAGCCCAGCCCCGGGGGCCATGGCGTCGATGACTCCGACCTCGGGTTGGAGAGGGCGAAAATGTCAGCGCTGGTTTCCCTCACCCCCCCCCCCCCCAACCCCCTTCACCGCTCCCCCTCACCTCTTCGTTTCAACAGAGCCGTCTCTGGCTCCCCGAGAAGTGGCTGCCGCCGGGGGGACTGGACCGGCTCACTCCCGCCACTGTTGGCCTTTGAAAAGGAGACGTTGGAGGAAGGGGAGGAAAGAAAACCGTTCTACATTTACGCAGCACCTTTCGCGTCGGGGGGAGATGCCTCCAGATCAGATGGGGGAGCCTGAGCCCAGGGGGTGTCAGTTGGGAAGGTAGTTGGTGGGTGGGAATAGGTCGTGAGACACACACTCACACACATAAACAATTCAGTACCGGTTTCAATATGTAAGAGACTGAAATTGCGTTCGGTCTCTTTTCGGGGTGACGTGTGGAAAGCCACCACACTAACCTTCCTGTGTGGGGGTTAACAACAACAACACAACAGCAGCAACAAAACAAGAACATTGCATTCATCTCGGGCGTTTCACGTCCCCGGGGAAGGCGCTGTTCACATTGCCACCGAGCCACAAGCTGAACGTACTTCTTGTGGTTTACTGCCGCCTTGTTTATCAGCAGCGCTTGTATGAGTAAGAATAATCCTTGCATTTGATATAATGCTCTTTATGTCAGGAAGATGTCCCGAAGCAGTTCATAGGATTTGCTGCAGCGCAGTGATTCAGTAGATTGTGCACTGCCAGCCTTACATTGTGAATTCAGAGGAACACCGTGAGGCTTCAATCCACAAGCTTCTGCGCCAGGCTGACGCCTCCCAATTCATTTTGTTGAATAAATAGCATGACAATGAGTTGTATGACAATCAGCACAGTCTTTACCACAGAAATGAACTAAGTTGTAAGAAAGAGTCATTTAGTTTCTCCCCGGCTCATGATAATAATACTTGCATTTGATATAGCGCCTTATCATGTCGTTGAGATGTCTCAAAGCGCTTTGCAGAATATACGGTAAAGTGGATTGACTGTATATTTTGTGGACGAAACCCGGCAGCCAATGGCACACAGCAATGTCCCACAAACAGTCCTGGATTGAGTGACCACAATATTTTAAAACATTTTTTAAAAGGGATTATTACCTGTGAAAATTGACAAACAACCGGGTTCTTACTTACCAGGTTCTTAAAATTAGGACTGATGAAAGTGGGAGAGCAGATTAACCAGATGAGCAAAGGGTGTCAAGCGGGGAAAGGAACCCAGGGATAGGGTACTGGTGAATAGGACTAATAGCCCGAAGTCAGAATTAAAGGTGCTATATCTGATGCGCGAAGCATTCGAAACAAGATAGATGAGTTAAATGCACAAATAGCAACAAACGGGTATGATCTGGTAGCCATCAGCGAGACATGGTTACAGGGAGATCAAGGGTGGGAGCTAAATATTCCAGGGTACGTGGTGTATAGGAAAGATAGGCAATGTGGTAAACGAGGAGGGGGGAGTGGCCCTGCTAATAAAGGATGGGATAAAAACAGTAGAGAGGAAAGATTTTAAATCAGAAAAGCAGGAAGTAGAGTCAGTATGGGTAGAGGTACGTAACAACAAGGGGCAGGAAACTAGTGGAAGTAGTTTATAGACCCCCGAACAGCAGTCACTGTGTCTCAAGGTATAAATCAGGAAATTAGCAGAGCATGTAGTAAAGGAAAAACATTAATTGTGGGTGATTTTAATTTGCATATAGATTGGGACAACCAAATTGGAAAAAATATGATAGAGGAAGAGTTTATAGAATGTATTAGGGATAATTATCTAGATCAGTATGCCGAGGAGCCAACCAGGGAACAGGCCATATTAGACCTTGTTTTGTGCAATGAAGCAGGGCTGATCAGCAAACTGGAAATTAAGGCTCCTCTAGGGCAAAGTGATCATAATACGATGAAATTTAGCATTAAGTTAGAGAGAAATAGTTAAGTCCGAAGCAAAGGTTTTAAATTTAAGTAGAGCCAATTTTGCTGGTATGAGAGAGGATTTAGCCAAAATAAACTGGGAAATTAGACTTAAGGATTTGACAGTAGACCAGCAATGGCAGACGTTTTAAGGAGATAGTGCAAAATTCCCAGCGAGCACGTATTCCTTTGAGGAATAAGAATGCCAAGGGAAAGGTGGCCCAACTAACTAGAGCAGTTAGGGAAAGTATAAAGTTAAAGGAAGAAGCCTATAAAACAGCTAAGATGAGTAGTAAACCCGAGGATTGGGAGAACTTTAGGGATCAACAAAGGAGAACCAAAAAAGTGATTAAGAGGGAGAAAATGGAATATGAGGGCAAACTAGCGAAGAACATAAAGACAGACTGCAAGAGTTTTTATAAATATATAAAGAGGAAGAGGCTGTCAAAGGTAAATGTGGGTCCGCTACAGGCAGAGACGGGGGGATTTATAGTAGGGGACAAAGACATGGCAGAGTCATTAAACAAGTACTTTGCTACTGTCTTCACCTTAGAAGACACTGAAAACCTACCAAGAATAGAGGGGAACCAAGAAAAAAATGTTAGTGAGCAACTTGGAGGAGTTAATATTAGTAAAGAAATGGTTTTAGGTAAATTGTCAGGTCTTAAAACTGATAAATCTCCTGGACCTGATGGCCTACATCTTAGGGTTTTAAAACAGATGGCTGCTGAGATAGTGGATGGCTTGTCTTTGATCTTCCAAAATTCTCTGGATTCTGGAACGGTTCCCATTGATTGGAAGACTGCAAACGTGACACCACTATTTAAGAAGGGTGGGAGAGAAAAGATGGGGAACTATAGACCAGTTAGTCTGACTTCAGTGGTGGGAAAAATTCTTGAGTCCTTAATTAAGGATGTCGTTATGGGATTCCTGGAAGACCATAACAAGATTAGGCAGAGTCCACATGGCTTTACAAAAGGGAAGTCATGCTTAACAAATCTTTTAGAGTTTTTTGAAGATGTATCTAGCAGGTTAGATAGGGGGGAACCAGTAGATGTAGTATATTTCGATTTTAAAAAGGCATTTGACAAAGTGCCACACAAAAGGCTATTGCACAAGGTTAAGGCCCACGGGATTAATGGGAACATATTAGCATGGATTGAAGAGTGGCTAATGGGTAGAAAACAGAGAGTAGGGATAAACATTCTCGAATTGGCAAGATGTGATGAGTGGAGTGCCACAAGGATCAGAGCTTGGGCCTCAGCTATTTACAATTTACATCAATGATCTAGACGAGGACATTGAATGTAACGTATCTAAATTCGCGGATGACACTAAACTAGGTGGGAGAGAAGTGTGAAGTTATTCACCTAGGTAGAAAAAATAGAAGAAAAATAGAAAAACAGATTATTTTCTACAGGGTAGATAGTGTTAGTGTTCAGAGGGATTTGGGTGTCCTTGTACACCAGTCTTAAAAGTTAGTTTGCAGGTGCAGCAGCAACTAAGAAGGCGAACGGCATGTTAGCGTTCATTACAAAAGGTTTAGAGTACAAGAGTAGGGAAGTCTTGCTGCAACTGTATAGGGCCCTGGTGAGACCTCACCTAGAGCATCGTGTGCAGTTTTGGTCTCCTTATTTAAAAAAGGACATACTTGCCCTAGAGGGGGTGCAGCGTAGATTCACTCGGTTAGTTCCTGGGATGAGAGGACTGACCTATGAGGAGAGGCTGAATAAACTCGGGCTGTATTCTCTAGAGTACAGAAGAATTAGGGGAGATCTTATTGAAACATATAAGATTCTTAAAGGGCTGATAAAGTAAACACTGAGGGACTATTTCCCCTGGTAGGAGAATCTATAACTAGGGGTCACAGTCTAAAAAGTAAGGGTCAGCCTTTTAGAACAGAGTTGAGGAAACATTTCTTCACTCAGAGGGTAGTGAATTTATGGAATTCACTACCCCAGAAGGCTGTAGATACTCAGTCCTTGAACATCTTCAAGGTTGAGACTGATAGATCTTTAAAAAACAGAGAGATTAGGGGATATGGGGATAGGACAGGTAATTAGAGTTAGGTCTGAAGATCAGCTATGATCTTATCGAATGGCAGGGCAGGCTCGAGGGGCCGAACGGCCTACTCCTGCTCCTAATTCTTATGTTCTTATGTTCTTACTTCTTGGTAAATATATTAAATTATATGTAATATATTTCTATCCAAGTTGAAACCTTCATACAGTTTCCAGGCTGGAAAGCAATCAGCTTTAGGGGAACCCAGATTGATTTCTCTCTTTCTCCCCCCCCCCCCCCGCCATTTTCCAGAGCAGACAGAAACTGATGCCCTGGTTGAGATGGCTCAGTAATGCGTCCCGCGCGCAATGCATTTACTCACTGAGCCAATTTTGAGTCATCCCACTAAGTACCACTGAGAAATCTGTGTAATACCTTCCAGCCTTTGAATGGCAAGTCATTCAGGGCACTAGACACAGGAATTGGGTCTCTGGAAATGCCGGGAGGCAGCGAACACAGGGTCAGAATGCAAGCCTGAGAATGAAATGTGTTTCTCTACTCTCTCACCGCCTCCCCCTCCCCCCAACACATACGCAAACACAGCCCCCTCCAACTAAGTGGGGTATTGGCTAGCACTGGCTCGCGGGGATTCCAGTCCGTCGCCCACCTGACTCTCCTGCTGGGTTAAGCCCAGCTCCTTGCCCATTCGATCCAGCTGGTACATACTGTTGCCATTGCTAACACTCACTTCTGAGTCAGACGATTATGGGTTCAATTCCCACATTGGGACTTTGAGCTCTTAGTTTAGGCTGATGTAGTCCTGGGGAGTGCCGCAATGTTGGAGTTGCCATTATTTGAATGACACCTTAAACTGAGGTCCCATTTGCCTGTCCAGGTGGATGTTAAAGATTCAATAACACTATTTGGAAAGAGAAGTGAGATTGATGTGCACTTAGATGCCTCATTCAAATAGCCATCTTGAAAGTCTCACACGCAAGCCTAAATCAGATACACACACACACACTTTTCTTGGCCAGAGTCATTGGATAATGATGTTGTGGGAATACTTGCTAATTTGATTTTCTTTTTCTCCCAGCCTGGCTGAATATAATGAACTTAATGTATTCATGTTTTGGATTATTTCAAGTTTACAAGGCATCAGGAGGTAGCACTTTTGACCCTGGATCAGAAGGTTGGTGCCCCATTTTCTCTGCACTTTATAGAAACTTTGTAATAATAACAATAATAATAATCCTTGCGTTTGATATAGCACTTTTCACGTCTTCTAGACATCTCAAAGCGCTTCACAGAATAGACTGTAAAGTGAATTAATTGTATATTTGAGGGTGAAAGGCGGCAGCCAATTGCGCACAGCAGTGTCCCACAAACAGTTGTGAATTGAAATGACCAACTTTTTTTTGTTTGAGGGATTACCATCAGGCGTGTGGAGTAAGGAAACTTGCCCAAAGTTTCACCCTGCCGGGAGTCAATCCCAGGTCTCTCGCTTGCAAAGCAAATGCTCTTAACCACTGAGTTACAGGACTCCGCTGTACAGTACAGTAAAACTTGCATAAGTCATATCAATCAGAATCATAACATTTAATGTGACTTATACAAAGTCAGAGATGTAGGCAAACTGTATAAATCGTATATTATACCTGAGTACCATAACACCGTGAGCAATTACCCACTGAGCCAATCACTGGGCCAACAAGAACTGTGTGCCTGAAAATATTGAAATGCATTGCCTTCAATTTTTTGGGTGTATTATCTCAAAATAGGTTGTGAAGCATGGCAAACAAGAGACTGAAGAGGACTGGGATGCCTTCAGATTTATGTGAACGATTGAACAAGTACCAGATTGTAAGCTGTCAGGTAAGTCAGTTGCAATTGAATCAGTGAATTTATGATTGGATAGTAATGTTACACTGTTTGCACCTATGGGAATCGACTCAGTCCACAGGGAAATTTATGATACAGCTGAAAGGTGAGATGCTTAGAAGAGAAGCAACTGAAGGGCATTTGATAAGTTGAAGTAATTCGCAGAAATTGTGAAGGGAGAAGAAAGAGAGATAGATGATGTCTCAAAACACTTAGAATAAACATGAAAGATCTAGCAAATTGAATCATGCTGTAACAATATAGTTTACAGTTATATAGAGCCTTTTATGGATCATAGTGCTTCACAGTGCTGGACAGGCAACTGAGCTGAGAGTGGGAGCTGAGTGGGTGGATGATAAAGTGCAGTCGAAGAGGTACATTTTGAGATGTGCCTTGAAAGATGAGGGAGAGAATGAGTCAGAGGGACTCCATGACAGAGTTCCAGAGAACGGGCAGAATGATAAAAGGCCCTGCTCACGGGGAGGATAGGGTGGGGACTTGAAGCAAAAACAACAACCACAAGATTACATTTGTATAGCGCCTTTCACGTTAGGAGGACAAAGCAGGTTAGTTTTGCTGAGTGAAGGGAGTGGCCGGGACAGTGTGGTTGGAGGAGGTTGCAGATATAGAGTAGTGCATGACCGTGGAGGAATTTGAATTGAGAGCAAGGATCTTGAACTCGATCTGCTGTGGGATAGTTTGTCAGTGGAGCCAAGCAATGGGATCGGTTTGGTGTGGGAGAGGACGTGGCCTTATATGAGTTTAGGATGGTCTGCATCCTGTGTGGGGAAAGTGTAATCAAATCTGGGCATGATAAAAGTATGGATTAGGGTCTCAGCCAGTCTGAGCAGAGAGGCAATAAGAAATTTACATTTTGCATAACGCATTTTACGTCAGGAGAATATCCCAAAGCGTGTCACAAGTTTTACTGCGTATTTTTAGGTGAACACAGCAGTCCAATTGAGCACAGCAATTGCCCACTAAACAGCTATAAAACAAATTATACAATTTTATTTGATGGATAATTGGCCAGGACACCAGGAGGCACTCCCTTCTTTTTTTCGAATAGTGTTATAGGATCTTTAACATCCACCTAAACAGAAGATGGAACCTCAGTTTTAACATCTTCATCCGAGATTCCATGACATGATTGAAAAAGTGAATGATATCTGGTGTCATTCACCTCATGGCTGTTTATGGAACCTTGCTACATTTGCTTACAAAACAATCCTACAAGACTTGATTGCAATTCTGACAGTTAAACACATCAACAGTAACTAAAGGACCATCAGATACAAAGTTATTCATTCCAAACTTAGTAGAATCCACTCTTTCTATTTCCAAACCATCAATTGGCAAAACAATTCCACTCTGTACAAAATGATTCTCATCACTGATGACCTCCTTGTACAATAGCTCTTCCAATTGTGCAGACCTTGAATCAGACAAATGCAAGGATTATTATTATTGTTATTAAGTATGAGTCATGGATATTTTGCTAGTTTGTGAGACTAATTCTATTGTCTGATCTCCTCCTCCTGAACCTCAAACTTTATACGAAACAGATCTTAGATTCTTACTTGTTCCTCTTTAATAGGATTTTCTGTCGCTTTCTCCACTGGAATTGATGAGACTAACGGGTCAGAGCCTACAGAAGGTGTTCACGCTGGTTAAAACAGTCAGTGCAGCATGTGCTCCTAAAATGGTCACTGTAAGTTAATACTGTTTCAAAACGTTTATGTTTTTTTAACTGTTTCCAATTTCTTTCTGATCTCCCTTTTTACTTGCATATTTGATACCACTGTAAAGTACAACACTGCCACTGGAGTGGACAGATTACCTGTTATTTCAGTTTGTTACCTGACTTTATTAAAAGAATGCTTAGGAGAGGAGTTGCTACAAAGGGAAGGGGAGATATTTTTTGCCAGTTGTGGGGTACTTATTTAATCCCAATGACCCTTCAATTGCTGTTAATGTATTTGGTGATCTTCTGCATTCTTAAATCATCAAACACACAAGCATGCTTATATACTAATAAACAGATGTAAATGTATTTATAGGGTAACCTTGTTATAGCGTCTCTCAGTAAAGAGCTGCCCCTCTTATAGAGAGGGTCTACTGTCAACCCAAACAAATTGGAAGCTCTAAAAATCCTTAGATAATTATACTGTCCCCGATTTATCCATGTCATCCTCTTGGCCTATTTTTGGTAGCACATGTATAATATATCAATAATCTTTTCATTTCAAGTCTTCCTCCTTGCTTTTAACTTGTCCTATTACTGTTACATTGCCAAACAAGTTAATCACATTCCTTTGGTCTTAAAATCATCGAAAGCTACAGCACAGAAAAGTGCCATCAAGTCTGTGCTTGTGTTTTTCTCTGCATAAATCAATCTAATATGATCCCATTCTCTTTCTCGTTTTTCATATCCTTAAATGTTCCTCTTATTTCTAATTGACCGAATTCTGCAAAGTGCTTTGAGGTGTTTATTTTATGTGAAAGGTGCTAAATTTAGTTGTTTACCATTTGTACTTTGTCATCTTCCTGATTGCTATATCAAATCCAAGGATTATTATTATTGAAGTCTGAATGCTCAGATCTGGGATTAGTTATGAAGTTGACCATGTGGTTTTGAGTTTCTTTTCAAATGCCTTGGAACAGCCTTCAAACGTGAAAGGTGCTATGCAAATGTAATTTGTTGTTGTTTTGTTGACTGGAGTGGGATGGTGCTTGGATTAAATACTCTGCTTTGTAATCTTGTTCCCAGGCCCTTGATATGAAGACTGCAAGGCGTTCTCAGCCCTCCAAGGCATTCTTTCCCACCTCTCTCATTGACTTGATGAGCTGCTCCATGGGGGTTTGGCCTGTGGAACTCTAACTGAGGTAAAACTCAGGGATTCCAACAACGACCTCTCCAGTGCTCTTTTGAATAGTTATTGTTTTTAGCTTTGTATTTTGTAAAATATTTCACTGAACATAAGTGCTCCGTACACAACTAAAGTGAATACTCCTCCGAAAAGAATAAAATGGGACGAATAGGTGACTCTGGTCAGCATGTAGAAAGTAATTGCACACTATTCATCAAAGATGCCTTGACCTGATATTGTTGCAAAAATTGAGGATATTTATGCAGTTTATAGCTGTCAGCGTAAAGACATAAGAGTGTAGAGCATTGAGGTATCTGTCTGCCTGTTGGGTTTTGGCAAGACACGGTTGGCCCCACTCTTAAGTTAAAAGGTTGTGGGTTCAAGCTGCTTTGAGAACATGATCTAGGCTGACACTCCAATGTAGTGCAGGGGGAACACTGAATTGTCAAAGGTGCCATCTTTCAGATGAGACGTTAAACCAAGGTCCTTTCTGCATGTTCAGGTGGATGTTCAAGATCCCATGCCACAATTCAATAAGAGAAAAGATTTTCTTCCGGGATATTTTGGCCAGCAATTCTATGGATTAAAGGATATGTTTGTGAAACCTTGCTGTGGACAAATTAGCTTTTTACAAAACTCTTACTGGTCTTGTTATCTTTTGTGCACAGGCGCACTCCTCAAGGTTTCTTCTTTGTTTTCAGGTGACTGGTCCCTCAGGCTGTGGAAAGACACAGTTCTGTATAATGCTGAGTGTGTTGGCTACTCTACCCATCGATATGGGAGGACTTAATGGAGCAGTCATTTACATTGATACTGAGTCAGCTTTCAGTGCCGAAAGGTGAAAGGCATTTATTTTTGAAATTATTTGCAGGCAAATCCGCGAGTGCAGTCATAGAATCCTCGACTAGACATTTTACCACAAAGTAAAGGGCCAATCAGCCCATTGTGACGCTGCTATAATTTATTTTGTCCACGCTCAATCCAACCCCAATCTCCTGCTTCCCATACTCTTTAAACATTATTAATAATCCTTACATTTAATATAACACATTGTGATAAAGAAGGCATTGGACAAACATGACACATATCAACCAGCTGTTTTTCATATCCCTTCATGATCTTGCCTCTCCCTCCACTTCTCACGCTGGGCTACCACTCTTGTTATTTACTTAACTCTATTCAACACTGGTGACTTAATTCAGTTGCTTTTGAATTCCCTTAAAACCCCTTTACCTTGCACCCTTGCTTCCCTTATTCCCGAACTATTTGAAAAGTATAAATTTGACAATTCAACTCCAAATTCACCCCCTGTGTTGATCAATTCTGCCTTAATGTCTTCCAGGCTGGTGGAGATAGCAAGAAACCGATTTCCAGAGTATTTCTCCTCTGAACAGAATCTGATAGAAATGACACGCCGAATTCACCTGTCTCGGGAACTCACTTGTCTGGATGTACTTAAGAGGTACTTTTTTTTAACTAGAATTACACACTTTGAAAGTCATTGATGAACTAAATAGGGAACCAGTGTTCAGTGTAGTTGTGGAATCCAGGACTTGATGTCTGACAGGCAGTCGGACAGAACAGTGGTCGTCCTGGAATCAAAGGTAAGAGTGGTAGAGGTATCGTCAGTAAACTTGTGTAAGCTGACACACTACCTAATAATTTCACCGGGGAAAGCATATATATAAGAAATTAGAGAGGATGAACAATTTCAGCTGACTATGCCAGGAAGAAAAACAGTTAGAGGAAGAGTGGAGACAATGTGACAGATAGAATTGGAACTAAGAAGCCACGAAGATGGGTAATAGAGAAGAGATAATAAAGGAGACTACGAGGACTGTGTCGAATGCAGCAGAGAGGGTGAGGAGGGACAAGAAGGCCTCTTTGCAGGATGTTAGGATGCCATTGGTTATTTTGATGAGTTCAAATCAAAGCCAGACTCAAGGGTCTTGAACGGCAATGGTGGTAATATATTGGGAAGGAGGTTTACAATATATTGAGAAAGACACCAGGATCTTTTCAGATGGAGATGGGTAGACAGGAACAGAATAGGCTATTTGACCCATTGAGTTTGCTCTGCCATTTTCTTAGAGCATGTAATTCAACAAGGACAAACAACAAATTGCATTAATGTAGTGCCTTTCATGTTCATGTTGGACGTCCCAAGGCGTTGGAAAGTGAAGGGTTTGCACCCAAGCTGGGGGGTTAGAGCTGAGCTGGGTGGAGGGCAAGGGACTGGAGGTAGGATGACTGGAGGCATGGTCAAAGAGATAGGTCTTGGGACAGGCCTTGATGGAGGCAAGGGAAGGGGAGAGGCAGAGCAACTCTGGGATGAAGAGTGGGGCCAGAAAGGCTGAAGGCCCTCCGCTGATGGTGGAGTGTGCAAGGTGGGGGACATGGAGCAGACCATTGCTTGCTGAGCAGTGGGCGCAATTCGCCAACAGGGCATTTACCTGCCTCTTCTCTGTACTTTCTGATATCCTTACTAGCCTAGTATTTATTTAACTAGTATTTATCTAGTACATTTCATATGGAAGATGGCAGTGGTGAGAGAGGAGGAAGAGTGAGTGGGTAAAGATGTACAGGGGATAGAACAGGGAAAGCAGGTTTGGGGAGAGTGGGGTGGAAATAGATAAGGCAGTCAAGCAAGTGGCCATGAATTTGGACACGAGAAATTCCACGACCTCACATTTTAAGCTGTTACAATGTCTTGTGGATGCTGTACAGTCTTATGTTTTAGTTTATGGCAATGATGGAGTCGGTGTAAGCTTTACAATGTTCAGACATTTGTGAAGTGTTTTATTTGTGTCAGTAGGTGTCACTGTAGCATTCTGTATCAATTCTGCCTCATACACAAAAACACTATCTACAGTTAGTTCATCATTGGAGAAGAACTTGCACTTTTATAGTGCTTTATCACATCAAAAGTTTTAAAGTGCTTTAGCTCATTACAGTCATTCTTGGAGACAGCTGGGGACAGTCTTACACATGCAGAAACCCATACTCATGCTTGAGAGTATCCAAACCAAACTACGGAGAATTCCACATATGCACATCACCTATATATTGCAATTTCTGAATGTCTGGAATGGCAAAGCTTACTCTCTTCTTGGAGGGAGGAACCCTGTTCAGCTAAAGCTTAGGCTTAACTTGGCTTGGGGACACAGGCAGGGATAAGCTTCCTTCTCTTTTTGAGATCTCAACATTCACTTGAATAGATGGTTGGAAACTTGGTTCAGCGTCTCATTCAAAGGATAGCGTTCCAACAATGTTGCACTCCTCCAGTACTGCACAAGTGTCAGCTTAGATCGTGCACTTCTATCCCTATGGGGCTTGAACTGATTACCTTCTACTGGATGTGAGAATGCAATGTCTTCTTTCCCTTCCTCTGGGTAGAGATGATGCTGAAGTAAATAATAGTAAAGTGATAGTGGCAGAGAATTCTTTTAAAAAAAGGTTTTACCTTCTTTTAATTTCCAATTGTGCTTCGATCCCTTCTAAAACCAGAGTGGAATCTTTGGAGGATGATATCATTATGAATGGTGTTCGACTTATCATAGTGGATTCTGTTGCATCAGTGGTTCGGAAGGAATTTGATACCAGACTTCAGGGAAACCTTTTGGAGAGAAGCAACCTGCTCTGCAGAGAAGCTGCAATGCTGAAGTTCCTGGCGGAGGAGTTCTCCATCCCAGTGAGTGTCTCTCTCTCTCATGCACACACTAACACGCTCACTCTGCTCCTTACAGCGACAAACATGTCGTGAAAGAGGTTCAAATGCATGGAGTCAATGTTTAAAGGACAGGTTGGTTCTCCGTAGTGACAGGACTCTGGGATGGAGTTCCAGAAGGTGTGGGGCAGAAAGGCTGAAGGCCCGACCACTGATGGTGGAGTGGGCAAGTTGGGGGACATGGAGCAGGCCAGTGCTTGCTGAATGGAGAGAACAACAGCCTTTTTTTAAATCAATAACTGGCTCAGATGATGTGTTAGGTTTGACTGAGGCATGGACTGGTTCCGCCGAATGGCCTATTTCTGTACTGTACAATCTTTATAAGGCAACAAGAGTTCTTCCCTGTTCCCACTCCTCCACGTAGAAATGTTGTTGAAGTATACAATCGTTGAGTTTCTTATACAGTGCCCTCTTCAGACCAGGAAATATCCTTTGGAGTACCACATCATTGCTTTTGCATCAATGTGCTCCTAAGAAGTGAGTGTAGAGAGGAGGATGTTGCACCTGGAGTTGTTAATTGTGTTGTGGGCTGTGAATAAAAATGTGCCAGGATAATCCACCTCAATTCTGCCCTTTCCTGCAGTGCAATTTAGGCTCTGTGCTGTGGAGAGCTGTAAATCTGTGTCTTCAGCACTGTGAAAATGCTGCTCTTGTAGCTTTTCTGACATCTTGAATCGCTTAGTTTGTTAACCAAGAAGGTTCGTTCAGCTTTTAATGATACAAAAACAATATTTAACAATATATTGGGTGGTGAGCATCACAAATCAAAGTCTCATTTGGTGTCTATATATATTCCAGGTGAGAATTTGTGAAGTGGTCTGACCTATGTTTACAACTAGAGGGAGGAGAGAAAGAATCATTCAAAGACACCAGTGCTGACATTGAAGCAAAAATAACTCAAGTAGTAACGCTCTCAGCCTCTGATAGTCTCAGCATGGTGTAAACTGAAACTTTTCAAGTTTTCTTTTAGGCGGGGATACAATCTGATTGTTTATGATGCTTTATGTGGATTGAAATGAAGGAGTGTTGAGGAGAGTGATAGGTTTATCTGATTCATTTTGGTGTGCTTAGTACAGTTAACCTGTTCAAATGTTTCTGGGCATTTCTGTTAACTGTTCCCAGTGACTTGAAATCAGCTAGGAATGGTCAATCTTCATGTGTGAGCGTTGACTGACAGCGTTCCACTGTGGTAGTGGTGTGTGGGGGGGAAGAGGACAGGATTTGCAAATGAACTTGATACTGTCTGCACCCAATTGTGTGCACCTTTAGGCTTTAGGTTGGGGGCACGAGATAACAAACAGGAATATAGACCCTGGATGATGTTCCTCTTCTTAATATGGGGCATGGAAACCAAATGGACTGTTAACTGCTGCCTTTGTTGAGCTCCTCTATTTCAACACAAATGAGAATGTAAACCTGAAACTTTACCAGTCTGTATGTTTCACACTGGGCCAGAAGTTAATCAATTTGAGTCATCAGGAGATGTACAAAACTTAAAGGGTAATGTACTTTTTAAAAAAAAAGTTTGCTGCACGTTGTTGAAAGTGGTTATTTTCTATAAATGGACACATATTTATATATCTCCTGTTATAATAATATCTTGTTGAGATATTAATAATAATCTTGCATTTGATACAGTGCCTTTCATGCCAGGAAGATGTCTCAAAGCACTTCACAGGATATACAGTAAAGTCACTGTGTATTGTGTGGGTATAATGCCTTGAGAGTCTGCAGCACACTGCAAAGTGTAAAGGAAGGTTAAACACTTTATTAATCTCCTCACACCCTGAAACCATGTCACAGTCCTTTCTTCAGCTTGTACAGAAATACAATACAATACAAGATGACATTTGTATAGTGCGGTTCATGTCGGGAGAACATCCCAAGGTGCTACGTGAGCTTTGCTGGGAAGTCAGGAGCAGAGTGTTCTGGCCAGCATGGAACTGAACCATACATACCAAGCAGGTCAAAGCCCAGTCTATACTTAATCGCTGGTAACTTGGGTGAGCTATCGAGCTTGGCCAATAATGAACTCAGTGACATGTTAACATTCTGGGAATGTCTAGTTCTGCTGGCTGTCTTAATATCAACCTCTTTCGGGCTGCTGGACATTTCCAGCATTTAGTTTACATTACATTTGTTAACAAAAATGGTCTTTATGCTTCATAGTAATTTCTTGTGGAGAGTTTTGAGATGTTTTGATGTGATAAGACACCTAAAAATACGAGCTCTTTCCATTCTCGCTTCTATTATTAAACCAGTTACAAGGAAATATTGTAGTTCCATACTGCAGCCAAAGGATGGCGATATTGAACTAGATATTAATGACCAAAAAAAACAAAAGGCAAAAAGTACTGCAGTTGCTCGAAATCTGGTGTAAACACAGAAGTCGCTGGGAACACGCTACAGGTTAGACAGCATCCATGGAGAGAGGAAATGGGTTAATGTTTCAGGTCTATGACCTTTCGTCAGAAGATGGATATTAATGGTGGTGGATTACAACAACACATTGCATTTATATAACGCCTGTCATGTGGGAGGGCGTCCCAAGGTGCTGAACAGTCGAGTTTTTACATCCGAGCTGAGGGTGGAGAGATAATCTAAGGCACGGGCCAAGAGAAAGATCTTGACACAGACCTTGAAAGAAGAAAGGGAAGGGGTGAAGCGACGGGATGGAGTTCCAGAGTGTGGGGGCAAAAAGGCTGAATACTCCACTGCCAATGGTGGGGCAGGCAGGGCGGGTTATGGCAAGCAAATGTAAGGAAGTTCTGCTACGCCTTTATAAGTTACTGGTTAGGCCCCAGGTGAAGTATTGTGCCCAATTATGGGCACCACACTTTAGAAAGGATGTCAAGACCTTGGAGAGAGTGCAGAGGAGATTTACCAGAATGGTACCAGATATGAAGGAGTTTAATTATGTGGAGAGACTAGAGAAGCTGGGATTTTTTTCATTAGAGCAGAGCGTGTTAAGGGGAGATTTAATAGAGGTATTAATTATTAGGAGTTTTGATAGAGTACATAAGGAGAAACTTTCCACAGGCAGCTGAGTCAGTAACCAGGGCACATAGATTCAAGATAATTGGCAAAAGAACAGAGTGGAGATGAGGATAAAGGGTGGTGGAAACAGATTCAATAACAACTTTCAAAAGGGAATTAGATAGGTACTTGAAAAGGATAAATTTGCAATGATATGGGGAAAGAGTGTGGGAGTGGGACTGATTAGGTAGCTCTTCCAAAGAGCTGGCAGAGGCACGCTGGGCAGAATGACCCCCTTCTGTGCTGTAAGATTCTATGGTTCTATAATAAGATGACGATCTTGGTATTGGAGAGGGTACAAGGAAAGACATGTAGATTGATAGGTGGAATTGAACAACTGAGTTATGAAGAGAATTTACATGAACCTAGAGTGTTCACATTGGATAAGTCTCAAGGGAGATCGTATTTCTTTAATCAGCTGGTGGAAACCCATCATCGTGCATAAGAGTATCCAAACAGAAACAACAACAAGATTACATTTGTATAGCGCCTTTCATGTCCCAAGGCGCTGGACAGTGTACAGCATTTCAGTTCCAAGAAGGGGTTAAGGGGGATAGGGGAAGGGAAGGGGGGTGACCAATGGTATGGTCGAAGAGGAGGGTTTTGAGGCGGGACTTGATGAGGCTAAGGAGGGGTGAGGCGGAGTGATTGGGGGATGGAGTTCCAGAGGTTGGGGGCAAAGTGGCTGAAGGCTCTCCTGCCAATGGTGGGGTGGGTGGGTCAGGGGACATGGAGCAGGCCGGAGCCGGCTGAGCGGAGGGAGCGGGTGGGTTGGTAGGGGGTTAGAAAGTCACAGAGGTAGGGTGGAACGAGACCATTGAGGGCTTTGTAGGTGAGGACCAGGATTTTGAACTGGATCCTCTGAAGGATAGGGAGCCAATGGAGTCGGGCGAGAATGGGGCCCAAACCAACTGAGTTCTGTGCATGCAAGTTGGTGCGAGCTCAGAGTGTACATTAGGGTGCTCCTGAAATTTAACCAGCAAAAAACTGTGCAGCCTAAAACTTCAGAGCACTGGTAAAGCTTCCTACTGCTTGACCAGCTGGAGAGAGGGAAATTAATGATAAGAATGTGAGGCATTGGGAATCGTGTCTTTAGGTTTCACCCCTGTATTCCTTTTCAAAATCCTGCCTGAACATCTTCTTTCCTGAATAGTTCCAATAATAAAAGAGATCCAATGCTTCAAGAGAAGGAGTTACTACCCAGTTTCCTGACCAACAATCTTACATTTCATTCACCTTATGACTAGTGGCATCTTGTGTGAAAAATGGCAGCTGCTTTTGCCTATTAAAAACAGGCCTGTAAAGGTAAACTATGAAGCACTTTTGTAGTAATAAGATGCTATAAAAATGCATGTTCTTTCTTTCCTCTTTCATTGCTATTTTAACCACGTACAATCCGAATCACATATCTGTCTTTGGTTGCAGAATATATTTGGAGCTGAACGGGTTGGCAGGAAAAGACTGCCTGAAATTTTTTTAAAGCTCATTCAGACTATCCCACTTCTTGGGCTAATACTAAAGTTGTCTTGGACTTCTTTATAAGGCTTTTAATAATAAGAAGAATCATCATCATCATCCTTGCATTTGTTATTCGCCTTATCACGTCTTTAGACTTCTCAAAGCACTTCGCAGAATATACTGTAAAGTGAATTGACTATATTTTGTGGGCGAAATGCGGCAGCCAATTGCGCTTAGCAATATCCCGCAAACAGTGGTGGATTGAGTGAACAAATTATTAATATTTTTTTATGAAAGGGTTATTATTACCGGGATAGCAATCCGCCAATTAACTAACAACCAGGTGCCTACCTTTATGCAAATTTAACTTGATTTTTTTCACTAAGGACTGTGTTTAAAGCACGATCTGAGTATTCCCTGCCTTCTACAATTTAAAGCCATTGGTGCATGAAAGAATGGGAAGAAATAGA